ATAGCTTCGGCTGATCCTTCGGCTAGCTTCGGCCCCAGGACCCCTTCGGTTGAGTAGAACTGAAGGGCTGCTGTACGGGCTATTCACTTGAGCCCGTACAGCTCCCGAAGTTGGCCGAGCGGCTCAGTCGAGCCGAAGGCATATGCTTCGGCTCAACTGAGCCGAGGTGAAAGCCGAAGCTGGAACGGCTGGCCGACAACCTGCTACTGACAGCTTGGCGGAGCCAGCCATCATCTCACGGTTGGCTCCGGCCACTTGCATGCAGAGACAGATCAGCGTCCCCTGGTTAGCAGCTAACCACGGACGCTGATGTGTCATTACACTGAGAACCCGGCGGAGCCGCTGTGATATCACGGCGGCTCCGTCAGGTTCTCAGTGTGTAATGACAGTTCAGCATCTCCTGGTTATCTAGTAACCAGGGGACGCTGGACTGTCATTACACACTGAGAACCTGGCTGGTCCTCCATTATATCCCAGCGGCTCCGCCGGGTTCTCAGTGTGCAACCAGGCGCCCTGGACTGTCATGAGAGCTTGTCTCTCCCTTTGATCTCCTCTCTAGCCCCCTATGTGATAGCAATAAAGTTGTGTAAAAAAATGCATAAAATGAAAGCATAAAAAAAGCACAACATTTTTTTAGGCCCCCCACATACACACGTAAACATGCGTCGGGTGCACCTACCAGTGAAAATGACGATTGCGCCAATTCTGCCGCACTTATTACATATCACGCGAACGTCGGAGTGTGAGCAATAATTTTAGGGCCATTAATCACCAATAACACTAAACTGATAAACTATAAAAGTGTTTAAAGCGTCACCTATGGCCAATTTTCAGTGTAATTTTTAGCGATTTTGCAGGCGTGCAATTTTAAGGCTTAACATGTTTGGTGTCTATTTACCCGACGTGACCCCGCCTTTTATATTTTACCACAAATATGGTCAAGCATAATTGAATAAATGTTTTATAACATAATGTAGGACACACTTTTTTTCCCCAAAAAAATTTACTGTACTGTTTTCATTATATAGTAAAACATAGCACCCCCAGTGGTAATTATTTACCTCCCAGAGAAAGCTCTATGTGTCTAAAAATTCAAAATGAGGCGAATTGCAGCATGAAGTAAAGGTTGTTAATAATCATCTATAAAGGATAAGTGAATGATTGATTATCTTCGTTGTATAAGGTCTGTATGCAATGGTCGCTGAGTAGGTATATATTATAATGAATAGAGAGTGTTTGTCGAATAAATAGCCAATATAGAATCTTGATGAAAAAGTGCCAACATATAAAATATAAAAAAATCAGGTGAAAAGTGAAAGAATAAATTTAAAAAGTGAATAATTGGGTAAGGAGTGAGTAATAAATTATATATAAAAATTAAGTGTAAAATGTATATGCAAAATGAAAAAGTGATGTTGAGTGAATATTAAAAATAATTCAATTGACTATATAGATAGTGGAAGGGTTATATTAACTACATACATCTCTGTGAAAGCAGATTCATGAGAAGAACGCTGGGAAAGTGAAGAAGTGTTAATTTAGGTGAAAAGAGGGATGATCGAGAGATCAAAACATAGTGGTATAATAAGGTGTAAGTAAAAGATAGTGAGAGTTCATATAATCCTAATACCTCATGGAGCGTGATGCTGTGTTGTCCTCCTCCCGGGTGCCGCACAAGAAATGACTGCAATCATGGCCATTTATATGCTACCCCCGATTGTCACATGACTTGGCCCCGTCCCCAAAGGGGCGGAGTCACAGCATGGGATGTGACAGGAGACCACAGAGTTTTTTTCATACTACTTATACTATGCTATGATAACACCACCAACATACTCCTCTGCGCTGAGAGGGTTCTTAGAGCTCCTCCACAGCCCGACAGGCTGGTGTCTGTTGTAAGAATTCTCCAAAAGATAGGAAGAGAGGACTTCCCTGACTCCAGAGCCAGATTCCTGAAGATGAATAGATGAATTAGTGTGTCCAGAGACCAGATTGACTTGCTCCACAGCAACAGAATATTGCATTATCGAGGTCCAGAGAGAAACTGTTTCAATTTTCAATTGTTCTTTAATATTGCGGGTCCAAAGGGACACTGTCCCTTGAAGGCCATGAGATCAAGCATTTGTTTTGTACACAAGGGTTCCACGGTTCAGCACTTTAGTCAGTCCAGCACTTTTGCAGTCAAAGTGCCCTGACATGAGACACATTCGAGGGAAGAGTCTTCTAGCAAACCGTCACAACTGTAACACTACAGCCATCTTCTCCACAAGTTTTATAAGCAAGGGATCAACCTCAGCAGCGCTTAGATCCCTTTGAGGGGTTTTGACAAAGTAAGGTCAAGAATTGGATGAAGGGCATGGCCTGCCAGCAACAACAGAGCTCAGGAAAGGGCTACCAGCCATTTATCGTTTGGGTCCTTAAAGACAGGAGCAACCCCCCTACTGCAATATTAAGCTACCTGTAAAAGTGGGACACGGGCAGATCCACAGTGGGAACAGGCCACTTCTGCACAAAATCCACTCTAAATGGATTCAAGGCTAATAGGCATTTAAGGTGGGACAAACAGCTTGTTAAGTCATGTTTCCTATCTCAATAATAAAAATTGTGGGAAAGTCTTTGCGGCCTTAGGAGTTTTAAAATAAATAAGAGCCAAAAGATCTCCTTTAACTTGGGAGTGATAGCAGTAGACTGTGATTCCTCAGGGGCAAGATCATTAGGCAAGGACTGGAGCGATTCAGAATGAGAATCTCTGCGGCCAATATAACATGGGTGCAAAAATGGAAAAAAGGGCCTCAGTCATGAAGGGGTTAAGTTGCTAAGGCAGTGGGCAAATTGGATAAGGACGTTCAGGAAAGTGCATGGGAGTGCACCTGTGGTCTCTGTGATCATAGTCTGCAAATAACTGGGTAATTTGGTATATAGAATCGTGCATGTCCATTCTAAAAACCTCAGTCTCAGAATGGGTGAAGGCCCAGCCACACCCAATTGAGGCAAAGACAACCCAGAGGATTAATTAGACTCACTTTTTTGTTTAGGGGTTTAGATTTGCTTCTCCTCCAGTTTCTTCTTAAGTGCTTATGCCTTAGACCTCACACATTTGTGGTTGCTCATCTCTGGACTGTATCTTTTCAATATCATTTTGGAGGTGAGGTTTCCAAAACTGGACAAAGTGTTCTAAATGTGCTCTATCTGAAGATTTCTAAAGTGAGACCAGGACCTTATTTCTTCTGCTGGAGATCCCTCTAATGATACACCCCATAATTCAATTAGCTTTGCCAAACAACACCACACTATTTGCTCATGCAATTTATAAGACTAAAGGATAACTTGGGATCCCTGCTACATGAACATTGGGCTTCAGAAGGTGTGCAAGAATAATATGGAGGTCTGCCTGATCTATAAATGTATATGTGTAAGGTAATGGAGTTAAGGAACGATTCTATTTGAACAAAAACATCCCTATAGTGGTAGGAATGGGGAAGTATCTGTAATACAAAATACCAGCATATAAAATTAGTGTGTTTAGATTACAAAGTCTCCAATACCTTTCCTGCTCTGAAAATATGCAACTTATTTTTCAGATCACCAGTAATATTAAGTGGCATGGACCAGTAGTGGCCGAATGGAAAGCTGAATAACCAGGCAGGCTGGCTGTGTTCCCTACAACTATTTCAAGCCTTCCTTTTATACTGCAGTGTATTTTAAACAGTACCGTATATACTCGAGTATAAGCCGTCCCAAGTATAAGCCGAGGTACCTACTTTTACCCAAAAAAACTGGGAAAAAGTATTGACCCGAATATAAGCCGAGGGTGGGAAATGAGGCAGCTACTGGTAGATAGATACCAATAAAATTACATTAATATTTATTTAAAAGAAAAATAACCTAGCTCTGTAAGTGGAAAAGGGGGTGCAGGGCTACATATCATGTACTACGGATCATTTAACCCATTCATGTTAGCAGAGGATCATTGTAAATGTATTGTCTGCACTGTATTAGCAGTATATACTCTATATAGAGTATATACTGCTAATACAGTGCAGACAATACATTTACAATTATACTAACATGAATGTATTAAATGATCTGTATGTAGCCCTGTACTATGGATCATTTAACCCATTCATGTTAGCAGAGGATCATTGTAAATGTATTGTCTGCACTGTATTAGCAGTATATACTCTATATAGAGTATATACTGCTAATACAGTGCAGACAATACATTTACAATTATACTAACATGAATGTATTAAATGATCTGTATGTAGCCCTGTACTATGGATCATTTAACCCATTCATGTTAGCAGAGGATCATTGTAAATGTATTGTCTGCACTGTATTAGCAGTATATACTCTATATAGAGTATATACTGCTAATACAGTGCAGACAATACATTTACAATTATACTAACATGAATGTATTAAATGATCTGTATGTAGCCCTGTACTATGGATCATTTAACCCATTCATGTTAGCAGAGGATCATTGTAAATGTATTGTCTGCACTGTATTAGCAGTATATACTCTATATAGAGTATATACTGCTAATACAGTGCAGACAATACATTTACAATGATCCTCTGCTAACATGAATGGGTTAAATGATCCGTAGTACATGATATGTAGCCCTGCACCCCCTTTTCCACTTACAGAGCTAGGTTATTTTTCTTTTAAATAAATATTAATGTAATTTTATTGGTATCTATCTACCAGTAGCTGCCTCATTTCCCACCCTCGGCTTATATTCGGGTCAATACTTTTTCCCAGTTTTTTTGGGTAAAAGTAGGTACCTCGGCTTATACTTGGGACGGCTTATACTCGAGTATATACGGTAATTGGGAAGCATCTCATGATGTCAAAACTACACTAGGACAATAGGTAACTGCTGCTTCCTAGCTCCCTGAATACCTAAGGAGCCAAATCAATAATGAGATTAGCAATGATATACCAAGTATTGGAGTAAAGCAATCAAACTGCTATGCAAAAAAAAGAATTTGGTTTTTGCAAAAAATAAAATACAAAAATACAGGTTTGATTGTTTTTATTGTAAAATTCCATTTCAATAATCAATTAAACTAATGGTGCTGGATTTGCATTCCATTTTTCAATTTTATTTGCCCTTGTTGTACAGAAAGTTCTTTGCAACATTACATAAAATCAGTATAAGCAAAAAGACACAAACATCCATAAGGTGCTTGTCTGCAATTATCCCGAATCTTTAAATAGCAGGTTATTACCACATATGTACAATATGTTTGCATTATCACTCAAACATAAATAAAACATTTACTTTTATTGCTACCTTTCTTAGCCAAATACCCACTTCATTGTCCCATCAAAAATATCAGTGGTGACAGAACTTGTATGGCCTAGGACATAACTTGGAATCCAGCCTTCAGCTGCGGGGCAAGCATCAGTGGCAGCTCGGAACACCAGGAACATGCGCTGCTGGTTGCTTGCCATAATTTGAACCACCTCTCCTTGGTAGACATTAATTTCATCCTCCTTCACTGCTGTGTAATCACGTGTCACCAACATAGTGGAGATATTGCTACTGCTGCTACTTTCACTCTGGAGGAACATAAAAGAAAATTATGATCACCCATCTACAAAACATATTTAAGCTGGTCATAGACATGTAATAACCATCTCATGTCTATGGCAACATAGACTTATCCATAAGCTGACAAATTCTTCGGAAGAAAGATTGATTTGGCTCAATCACTGATCTTTTCCCTCAAAGCAATAAAAATTAATCCCCCCCTACCCCCCCAAAAAAACAGTACTAGAAGTGGTCTGCTTGCTTCTACCTTCTGTTACTCCATCATTCACTTAATCAAGCAAACAGGTTCATAAAAAGATGTAAACAATTTTAAAATAAAAACGTATAGATTTTGTAAAGAAGTTTTCGAATTAGTTAGATACAGCAAAAGGTATATATCAGGCATTGTTAATAACCATCATAATGAAAACAGGCTTTTAATGTAATTGGGAAGAATAACCTAAAGGTGTCACGTGATGAGTGAGCAGCCTTTCACAGCTATATGGATGCAATTTAGAACATACCAAAAACAAATATTTGGATTTTAATGTCAGCTTATTTTGATGTTGCATTTCCCTTTTTTAAATTCTCTGTATTTGCAAAAAAAGAATGAATATAATTACTTTATAGGCAAGACAGATCATTCAACTGTGACCATGTACATTACAGCTATTAAGACACAGCTCTGGCTTACTGGTCCCTTGCACCTGGAAACATCACCACCAAGAGATCCGGGTGGAGGACTTAAGCATAAATATCTCCTCTGGGTTAAAAAAAACAAAAAAACACTACTTAGTGGGTGAAAAGGGTGGGAGGTAGCGGGGTTACATTTTCAAAAGGAGATGAGCTTTAAGTCAAAACTGTATGTTTATGTTTCCCTGAAAGCATGGGGTTGTCCAGTATACATATAAAAGAGATCAGCTTAATAAAAATAATCTTATTATTGTGCATTACAAGTTTGTTCTAATTATATACGTGCAAGGGGACAGTAATACTTGCTCATTATATGCAAGCTATGTTTTCTGCTTACTAATGGTGCTCAGTGACTGTACAGTACTGATCATCTTATCTTACTGCATTTCTATCCAAAAGTATCTGAGGGAATTAAACAACTAAATCTCTGCATTCCCTAATGAGGTAAAACTTCCATAATGCAGCAAAGTACCTATTTTTTTGTTTAAACAGCCCCGATGCTGGCGACGTACACTGTACGTCGTCAGTCACGAAGGGGTTAATAAAAGGGCTTCCCTTAATATATAATTACATAACAATCATTATTGTAGAGTCACAGGTGCATTTCTCAAACATAGCATAGAAGTCCAAATCAGCAGTTTGACTTTAGGTCAGCTATAATAGTGCATTTGCTTGACTATTTTATGCAAGTATAAACAAAGATTGTTAGAATATTCCAGTATTCACACCACAGGGTTACCTATTTACCCCTTAGACCTAGACACCAAGATGCAGCAATGACAGATGGTACACAGCTATGTGTGGTGGAATTTGCTATGATGGGGTTGCCCCTGTTAATGGTATAGTTCAGGGGTCGGCAACCCCCGGCTCCAGAGCCGCATGTGGCTCTTTCATCCATCTGCTGCGGCTCCCTGTTCCGGGGGCGGAACTACCTCCAGGGCCTCGGGCCTGAGGCTTGGGGGTGCCCGGTGAGGTCCGGTTCTGGCCCTCCCTTTCGTGGAATATGTGGCAGAGCAGGGTCCCGGGGCCCCGCACTGCCGATGGGCTTCTCAGCAAGGGGGCGGGTCCGGTGACTCACCTCCTCTCCCGGCAGCGTCCCTAGTAACAGATGGCGGGAGAGGATGGGATTGGGGGGGTGGGGTGTAGGTGTGAAGTGGGGGGGGGGGGGGGGGGGGGAGGGCGGTACGGGTGTAACTGCACACTGTGTGCTGTTATTTAATTTATTTAGAAAAGTGGATTAAAATGGGGAACATTACGCTGTAATGTTCCCTATTATAATCTATTTCTCTGATTAAATGATCAAACAGGACTGCTGTTCTATCAAAGTTTATGACTAGGCTGGAATGTGTAACCGGTGACACATTTCAATGTAATCCCACCCATTTTTCTGGCGGTAAAATGTGTGACCACCAATAGGTCAAGCATTCCAATGCTTTCTCAGCTGTCTATCAGACTTTGTGAGTGGGTGGAATGTGAGATCGCACTCACAGAGTCGGATAGAAGTGACATTTCAGGATCCAACCGCTGTTCCAGGGCAGCTCAGTTATCTTGCACACATACGATTTGCGATGCCGATCTGCCCTGGAACAGCTGAGAAAGCGTTGGACATTCCACCGCCAAAAAACTGGGCGGGATTACATTGAAATGTGTGACCACGTCACCGGTCACACATTGTAACGTAGTCACAAACTTTGATAGAACACCGTCATCAGGGGGTACGGCCGGTACCCATGTGAGCGGTTTGGGCAGCCTGGGGGGCCTCTTACATGAGTATCAGCTGTACCAGGGGTGGCATGGCAGAGTTATAGGAGAGGGGGTGGAGGAGGCCAGGCCCCAGCAGCAGCAGGTAAGAGGAGTTGGGAGGAGGTACAGGGAAAGGGACCCTGGCGACCAGCCCACCTGAGGCCCTGCAGAGCCCACCATAGAGAGTCTCAGATGGGCTGCGCAGGATCTATGGTGTGCACTGCCGGGTCACTCTCAGGTGGACTCTGCGGGGTCTCAGGTAAGTCCGGAGTCCAGTGCGTTACCAAGCCCAGAGTCCAGTGCGTTACTAAGCCCACATATACCTATATACATGCTATACATAGCATAAAGGTAAAAAACGATATATGCAGTGTTATCTTTATTTTAGATATCAAAAGGGTTTTGTGGCTCCCAGTGTTTTCTTTTCTGTGGGAAACGTGTCCAAATGGCTCTTTCAGTGTCTAAGGTTGCTGACCCCTGGTATAGTTATATAGAGGAGATAGAAAGCAGTTGTGAAGTCATCCAAATTACTGATTTGCTATAAAAGGTGGAGAAATAGCTGGTAAAGTAGTTGCTCTAACTTGGCATAGCAATTAGGGATTATGCTCTTCATTTTTATGATGTTGTTTACAACAAGAAATAGGGATTTAAACCCATTTTGTGGCAGAGTCATTGATACTTATATGGAAGCAGCTAAATTTGTCTCTGTAACTTGACTATAACTCTGACAAATTTCCTTATTTATAAAAATCTATAAAATGTTTACACTGGTTTAAAGTACACCTATCACTTTTACATGGTACATTGCTTTAATGCACAGATGTTTTATTATATAATGACAAATGGACAAAATTGTGAAAAATATGCATTTGTCACTTTTACATTACATACATATATATATGTGTGTATTTACATTTTAAATGGTTTGTTCACACTATGCCTGGATAACTGTGATTTTCTCCACCCCCCTAAGCAATGCAGGTCTTCAAAAGGGCACATAGAAAACAATCATTTTCTGTGTGTCTCATTCATACTACAGGGACAGAGCAGAGTGGTGCTTAAAGTGTATTTCCACTTTCGCAGTCAAATTGAGATAACACCTATTTTTATATTTGTTACATGTTCCCATTCACATAGCTTAAGCTAAAAAAAATGCTTCTTGCAGTTTAAATAGCTTTTATTTGGGTTAGGGTTTTAAGGGTTAAAATGTATTTGAGCGTCTCTCTCTTTTAAATGTTAGGAAAGGCTGTGATGGGTGAGGGGTCTCATCCATTCAGAGGTGGCTGGACCATTGTATGCTAATTAAGCTTATCAGATAAACACAATCCTCAAACTTCTGTCCCAAGACAGACCACTGTGAAAGGGCTAAGAAAAACCTGGAATCAGCCATTCTGTGTGATAAGGAACACATAACGAACATATGGATGGGGTTTTCCTAAATTTGACTGCAAAAGTGGTAATACACTTTAAAAATGTTTGTCTACTGTGGTGTAAGGAAATTAATGAAATGTCACTTTTTATCTAAAATGTGGAATATAACATGGGTACAAAAAATGAAAAAAAGGCCTCAGTCATGAAGGGGTTAAACATTGCATTTTAAAAATTCAAGGCACTGCCCCCCCCATTGCTGGCACGCGGACACCAGCCTGCTTTAACACCAGATTGTTTTTGGGTTGTGGGCTTAGGTGAACAAGCTCTTAATATTTTTTTATTTAACACGGGTTTACTTTTACTTATAACTTTACAATAACCACTGCCAGTCGACTGCTTTTGTTAAAAGGCACAATGACAGTTCAGCTGGCTTGTATGTAAGCAATGTTATGATCATTATGAAATCACAGTGATCACTTGATTTGGAACCATGGTGATTGATTCTGACAGTGTGCCTTCTAGTTCTGCAAAATAATCTAAGGTATAAGGTATTGAGCTGAGGAATATTTATCTACAGATGGCAGGTAGAAATAGGTTAATACATTAACGCACAATGAGAATATTTATATTATGCTGATCTTGTTGAGATAAATAAATATGAGACATTTAAAGGACTACATGTTCCCATTAAGAGCCTAGACATAATCTTTGTTTTCAAGATACATAGCACATAATTTTATAAAAAATCTATGTATGTATATAATATACATGTAACGATCTATGTATGTTTGCAATATATATATACATATATTTCAGTTAAACTTACCCTGATTCGCCTTTGTTTCTATACATGTTCAGCAGACTATACTGTGTGTAAAAGTGAGATAGTGATGTTCAGATACCAAGTATTGACAGTTTTTCGAAAACAATACAGACTAAAGATTTCAGGACAGTGGTGGAGCGCCAGGGTCCTGTCACATCTGCAACCACTGTGACCCTGTTAGTTTTTGTGAAAATGCCAAGTATCGGCACTGGTATCTGAACATCCCTATAAGACTCTATTGTTTAGACTTAAAGTGTAAAAGAGAAAAGCCAGGTATTAGTAATCTATATTACGTTTAGATGATGCCCAGAAGGCTAAGAAGAGCGATGCATATGTTTCAGAATAAAAATTATAAAGTAAAGGACCAAACCAATGATTATTTCACAGAAGAAAAAGCATTTTGGAGCTTGAGGTTAGTTAGCAATTCAATGATGTGAGCAACAGCCCAGGAGCAGGATAGATTTGGAGAACTTGCAGAAAGAGAGCTCTTCTTACCCCATTACTCTTAGTGGAATGAACTGACTGCTCACTGGCTGAGGAGCAGGTGCTGAGACGGTCTGAATCCTTGTTGTGTGTGGACTGACGAAGACCTTTGTGTTGCAAGGTATCACCAGGAAAAGTGATGGAACCAGAACGACTAGCTGAGGATACTGAGCTCCAAAAAGAGCCTTTAAGAAAAGGGCTGATGGATGCAGTAGATTCCTTACCAAAAGACAATGGAAAGTTAAATGAACTATGAGTGTTAAAAGATGCTGTAGCACTGTTTATTTTCTTCGCTAATGCAAGCCGACAATCCTCTGTGTTCTCACAAATCTTTCTCTGAAGGCCATTTGCTAATCCACTGTTAAGTTTCTTGCAGCCATCAAATGTCTTTACCTCGGATAAACATTCTTTATTACAGACACTTGTTTCTGAACCTGAAAGAACTTTGTCTGCAATTGAGTGTGTAGGGTCTAAAGAGAAGTTGAGTGGTGACACTGAAGCACTACGTACAAACATACCTGACAATTTGTCTGCCTCTGCTATTGCAGAAGAAGAAGAAACCAGAGCAGATAAGTGATGTCTGACAGGCTGGGGAATTCGGGAAGGCCTACTTCGACCAGAGGTACTCAGTCCACTAGTGCAGGTAGGTCCACTGGCAGATGGGACATTTCCACCAATTTGGTTTCTGTGATATTCCTCTGGTAATGTCAAGGCTAAAAAACAGAAAACAAACATTAAATAATATAGCATAGTGTATTTAACCCCTTCTAGTGTTTTTGCCTAAAAACAATTTTTACAGGTTTGGTGGATTATTCACTACACAGGTGTTTTTCCTCTTTGCAAACCAACTGTTCAGGTCAACTTTCCCTGCTAATTCTATAGTAACTAAACTTTTGTGGCTGGAATTCAGCAAAGTAAACTATTTAATTAATAAATTCACATGTGACAAAATCATAAAACACTTACTTTTTCCACTAACATCTCAGTGTGTGCTTTTTTTGATTTGAAACTTCAAAAATGAATTATTGCCATTAAAGGAATGAGTGAAAATGTAATCATCAAATGGGAACAAATGTTCAGATGGCAACTGTCTAATGTAAAACAGCTTTCATTAATGTATTGTATTTCATCTGGGTATTTACCTCTTTGCGTGGAGTTCATTTTAATGATAACGATTGCACACATGGGATTATTGTTTTCTCCTGCATGCACAAGGATGTGACTTTAAAAGGGAAAAAATTAAAGCAGATCCTGAAAGCACGCCTTGCAACACTAAGACCTTGTAGTCATGGTGCTGTAGCAACTAGATGGATGATGTTGTCCAAACATATCAGAAAAAAACATACTAGATGTTGTTGGCACCTTGTTACCATTCACCAAAAGATGTAATAATGATAACAAAGGGTATACCATAAAAGTGCAACGCTACTGTACCACAAAAGGTCCCTTTATCAAAGTTCCCACATACTCTGATTAATGCTTAGATCTACCATTGCACTATTATGGTGTCTTCTTTGTTACCAGTAAAAATAGCATGCTAAAAGATTGCTGCTTGCAACTTACAGTGGCTATAAAAAGTCTACACAAACCTGTAAAAAAAGGGATGTAAAAAAAATCAGAAGATAAATCACTTTAGATTTTTTTTCACTATAATCTGTAAAATTCAATGAAAAAAAAATTGTCTAATACAGAAAAATAATAATGTGGCTGCATAAGTGTACAAACCCTCTTATAGTTAGGGAAGTGGCTGTGGTCAGAATTGACCAATCACATTCAGACTGATGTTAAATACACACCTGCCATCAATTAAAGTGACTGATTAAGCCCATATAAAGTTCAGTTTATCTAGTTGGATTTTTCTGACATTTACTCAGTTGCCCCTTACAGCAAAAGTTATGGTTTGTAAGGAGCATATAAAGCATCAAAGGGGTTTCATTCTTGGATGGTAGGGAGAAGGGTACAACATTTTTTCACCCAAAGCATCAGATATACCAGCGAACACAGTGGACATCAACAAGTGGAGAAAATATGGCACAACAGTGACATTACCATGAGCGGGACATTCCTCAAAAATTGATGAAAAACGATTAGAAGAAAACAGGTCCAGGAGGCTACCAAGAGACCTACAGCAACATTAAAGGAGCTGCAGGAATATCTGCCAAGTACTGGCTGTGTACTACACGTGACAACAATCTCCCATATTCTTCATATGTCTGGGCTGTGGGGTAGGGTGGCAAGACGGAAGCCTTTTCTTACTAAGAAAAACATCCAAGCCTGGCTACATTTTGCAAAACCTACATCAAGTCTGACAAAAGCATTTGGGAAAATGTGTTATGGTCTGATGAGGCCAAAATTTCAAAACATATGTTTGGCACACAAACAACACTGCAGATCACCAAAAGAACACCATACCTACAGTGAAGCAAGGTGGTGGCAGCTTTATGCTTTGGGGCTGATTTTCTTCAGCTGGAACTGAAGTCAAGGTGGAGAGACTTATGAACAGTTCAAAATACCATTCAATTTTGGATAATGCAGAGTGCGCAGAGGAGTCAGCAGGAGTAATGGATTATGAAGAGTGCACACAGGAATCAGCAGCAGTAATGGATAGTGCAGAGTGCACACCAGAGTAGGAAGCAGCTGGTAATAAAGGGTGAGTTTGTGTAGCTGTGGAAGCAATGGAAGGTGTCTTGCCACTGTGAAGCAAACAGAGAGGGAGAGGCACGTTTAATTCAGGAAGACTCGGTTGAGAGTGAGAGGAGTAGCCTCTGCAGTGTCAGGGAGCCGGCGTCCACACATTACACAGACTCCGTTGTTTGAATCTACCAGCTTAAAGGAGAACTATGGGGTTAGGACTTTTCCCCATAGTTCTCCTAAGGGTAACGGGAGGACACAAACTAGCGTCCTTCCGTCAACCTAAGCTCAGTATACCGCGGTATACTGAGACGCCACAGCTGAAACGCATCCCGACAATTATGTATGGATCTGCCCAGCTGCTTGAGTGACAGCTGGCTCTGTCTATCTAGAGGCAGAGCCAGCTGGACCCGCCCCCTCCCCCGTCCGTTCTGCCAGTCAGCGCTGGAGGATCGGAGCGGGGAGGGGAGAATCCAGTCCCTCCCCTGTCACGGCTCTCTGCCGCGACAAGATCGAGAAGTGAGCGAACGTCGGTATGTGTTCGCTCACTTCCCGATCGACTGAGCCGACCTGTGACAGTTTCATTGTCACAGGTCGGCTAGTACTATGAGGATGAGTGAAAAGCACACACCTCATAGTTCTCCTTTAAAGAAGGAAGAGAGCAGGTGGCGTTGCGGCAGATGATTGGTTAGGGCGGGACTCCACTCGGATGCCTGCAGAGACTTAAGGTAAGTATATTACAGTAGCCCCTCTGCAAGGAGCCACTCTGGCCAGGAAGCAAGCACCATGCCATTTGGCCGGCACGAAGCTGGCTTCCCAGTCAATCAGCAGCGAGCCTGCCAAACAATCAGGAAGCCGGGCCGCGGGTAATGCTGATTGGCTGGGAAGCCGGCTTCCTGGGAAATCAGCGTTAAGCCGGCTAAACAGCCGGCTCGATGCGGATTGGCTAGGAAGCCGGCTGCTCGGCCAATCAGGAAGCCCGACAGCGGGTAATGACACGCTGCCTGCCTTCCTGTTTTCCCCGGGAAGCCGGCTCCATGATACCGGAAGTACCGGTATCAGTATAGTATCAGTACTAATACTCGATACCGAAAAACTGGTATCGGTGCATCCTCAGTTGATAGCCATACTGAATTCCCAATCTGGTAGTTTGGGGGTTGTCTTCCTTTGAGATCGTAGTAGAACTTTTGTTTGGCTTGAACCTCTACAATGTTAGTTTTGAGGAGTTCAGAGATTTCTTTGAAAACACAGAACATTGGTAATGGGATTATTAGTTGGAATTAGATCTGTAGGTATCGGATTTGGGCAATACCCATAGTTAGCAAAGAAAGGGGTTTGACGAGTAGATGCGTTGATGGAATTGTTGTAGAACTAAAGGAAGTAGTAGAACTAAAGGAATCTTGAAGGTAAGTACAATAACAGCGTATATATTGCGGTAAGCTCTGATTCATTCTCTCAGTTTGTCCATTTGTTTGGGGATGGTAAGCCCTGGAGAGTTGATGGTCGATTTAAAGCTTTGTGCAAAGTGCCTTCCAGAATTCTTAAATGAATTGGCTACCTCAGTCTGAGATAATTTGTTTCAGAATTTCATGTAACTTATTGATGTTGGAAATGACTGCGCCGGCTGTCTGTTTTGTATTTGGTAATTTATGGAGTGGTACAAAATGAGTCCTTTTTGTAAAGAGATCTGACGCAACTTAGAAGGTGTTACAATTCTTAGATGATGGTAACTCCACAATGAAATCCAGTGAAATGGTCTCCCATGGATCTTCAGGAATGGGTAGGTTTGTTAAAAGGCCATATGGCAACTTTGTATCGTGTTTCGACCTGGCACATACCTCACAAGAAGAGACGTAATCTTGAATTATTTTAGACATGCTCGGCCACCAAAAGTACAGACGAATCAGTTCCAATGTTCATGTAATCCCTGGATGACCAGCTAGGGGGGCATCATGTAGTAACTTCATAATCTGGACCTGAAACAATGGAGATATGTATAATTGAAATCCCTTGTAAAGAAAACCTTCCTTGTCAGGTTGTAACCTGCAGGTTGGAGGGGATGGATCAGGGAGCAGATCATCTTTAAAGTTCTTGTTTTAGATTCATGGTAGCTTTTATTATGATCTCTTGAGCTATAATAGAAGTTGGTGGACTTGGGTGATTCACTGGCTCCTCGATTCTAGATAAAGAATCTGCTTTCCCATTTTTTGATGCAGGTCTGTAGGTTTTGATGAAGTCGAATTTGTCAAAGAAGAAACTCCACCCAACCTGTCTTGCAGAAAGTGTTTTGCTTTTTGTAAGATACTGTAAATCAGACATCAAACAAGTATCTGAAAATATAATTGATAAAGTATTGAAAGGTTGCTGGGGTATTAGGCAGCCCAAAAGGCATGACTAAATATTCGTATAGACCATACCTGGTACGAAATGCTGTTTTCCATTCATTTCCAGCGTTAATCCGAATTAAGTCCTAAGCCCCCCTCAGGTCAAGTATAGATCTGGGCTGTTTGCAGGAGTTCTATGAGTTCTGGAATGAGTGACAGTGGGTACCTATTCTTGATTGTTATTTTATTTAATTCCCTGTAATCAATTATAGGTCTTAAGCTATTATCTTTATTCCACACAAAGAACATAGCTCCAGCTGGAGACGTGGAGGGTCTGATGAAGCCTTTCTTTAAGTTTTATCCAGGTATACTTTAAGGTGGTTTAACTCCGGCTAGGATAGTGGGTAATAGGACCAAAAGGTATAGGTCGATCAGGAGTTAAGTCTATGAGACAATCATATGGTCTATGAGGTGGTAGAGTGTCTGCCATCTTTTTTTTTTTACAGAAAACGTCAGCAAAATCTTGGTAAGCAGTGGGTATGACAGGTGTGGAAATCTGAAGCAAAGGAATTGATGGATAATATGTTTGAAGACAGTATGGGAAAGTGAGTTAAACAGATAATGATTCCGATTGGAGGTGAGGTTAGTGTAATTTCAACTAGGGCAATCCCAATATGATATGATGGGAAGAGTGGAGATGGAACTACATCAAATGAGAGGTATTCGACGTGACATTCATTTATTATTACCATTAATGG